AATGATACCAGCTTTGGCCTCTTCCAAGGTTTTTCTCCTCATGCTGTACATAACATAAGTTTTTTTAACAATGAGGGAAACCTTTCGGCGCTTGAGTTCTTCTTTGAGTCAGGTTACCTCGGCAGAAAGGCTCTCCCGGGCGGATCTAATAGATGCGAGGCTAACATCAAGGTCACGGACAGTTGAACTAAATAGCCTATTATGCTCGATAGTTTTCCTATACTTCTCATACAGCTTGGAATATTTCACCCCCACAACAGCAAGCTTTGCATTTTTGGAACTCAAGGCTGCCTCCAAATTATTCAATCTTTCAGCGGAAGCAGCCTCACGATCGGCTGCAGCAAGAACGACATTATGGACTTCAACCTATTTAGCTTTATCTTCTTCAAATTGAACCCTCAATGGGGCGATCTCTTGGCTAAAGGTTACCCCCTCTTGCTTGTTTTGCTGCAAATAAGCCTCCAACACAACGGCCTCAGTGCCTTGGATTTCAGTTCCGAGAGGCAAGCGACACTTGCTCCCGTTGTGCTAAAAGTTGATCCCGTGCGGAAGTAATTTCTTCCTTCTCACGAATCAACCTCTGAAGGCCTTCAGAAGCAAGAAAGTTAGCCTACAAAGCAGGAAAGGCAAGATTCAGGATATGTTTAGACAAAAATAGAAGAAATAATAAAGGAAGAAAGGAACCTACCGCTACGGCATTGTGCATGGCGTTGTTCAAAAAATACTCTCCTGAGAGTGCCTGAATCTTTTCCCAATCTTTCACAAAAGGACTTCAGATAGTTAGTAAGCTCCACCAGCCGGGATAGTAAGTTGCATCCTGTAGAGACCGAAAGAGTAACATTCCTCCTCCTTTGTGGATCTTCAAAAAGGGCAGCATAATTTTGTCCCAAGATCCCATGAACTGGGGACTGGGGAAGAGGAACACCTTCTTCATGGCCAGGCGCGGCTGGTGGAGATGATGTAGCAGTTGCTGGTGAAAAAACAGGTGAAGATGTAGATAAAGCAGATGGAGTTGAAGAATGAGAAATGGCTGCATCAAGTGCAGTGCTAGTTGTTGGATGATCGCCAACCAAAGGCGGTACAGACTTGGTACTCAGCCCCGTAGTACCAGGCACAACAATTGGGGCCATAAAATAGGAGTTGTCATTTTCTACTAAATCACACTCCCCCCAAAGTGCCGAGATGTCACCCTCGGTTGGTATAACTAACTCAACGATTGAGCATTTTGTTGAGTTGATGATGAATGCCACCTTCTATGTAGAGAGCTCCATCATCACTAGTTTCTCTATCATCGTCGATCATCACGGTCTATGACGCACGGGAGGAGGTCTAGTGATCACAACTTCTAGAGAAGACTCGGGGGCAATAGTCTTCACCCTCTTATTTTTTTCGCCGGACATGGAAGAATGCCTTCTTTTTGGCTGCTTGTTCTTCGACCGGGGACTCCGTAGTAAAACACATGTGTCTGAAGCAGGCTCGAAGACACCTGTTCGAGTAAGCGCCTCCTAAAGCAGCCTCGCCACATCAGCAGGATCAGCTAAGATGTCCTCCTCGAGGACTGCAACAGAGCCCGCATGTAGACCTGAGTTCAAAAAAAAAGATAGAAGGGATCAATCAATTTCCTCACATAAAAAGTTTAAACAAGGTTAGACTGAATTACCATGATTTTTGTCTTTCCACCCGTATTTGATGGACATCTCTTTCCATGTACGGGTCTCGGACGTAGTAACATCCAAGATCTTTTGGACCCACTATCCTAAGCCTTCAACCATAGGCGGAACCCATCAAGTTGCTGAAACAAGTATAGAATGAAGGATCAATACAGATATGGAAGAATCCCTAATCAACCAAATATTAAACAAAAAAATTACGAGTATGGTTCCACGCTTCCGTAAAGGGTGAAGTCATTGCTGGAACGATGTCGCTGGTGGCAAATACAACGAATCTTTCTATCTACCCATGGTCGTTGTCATCATCCATGCTAGATAACAAAGCATGGTGGCCACACTTGCAGAGGTTTTTTATTCCCCTGCGGAAGATCTTGGGAGAATAGAGTTTCATCACATGAGCTAAAGATAGTTCCTCTCTTGTTTCTTGGCACAGACGCCGAAGGCAGACAACCGTCCTCCATATATAAGGACTTACTTGTGCCAAACACACCTGGTAGCAAAGGCAAAACTCTGCAATAATGGAGTCAAACTCTCCATTCAAAGAGAACGCACCCAAAGTAAAGGGATACGTGTAAAAGTATGTAAAACCCTATTTGGGTAGGGTCACTCGCTCGATAGATCAGGAGCAACAATATCCAAATCATGACAGCGGCAGTCTTCTTTCATAGCAGGAGTGCTAGAAGGACGGATAGAAAAAGGATACCTACTGACAACCCATGTACGAGGGTTAGCAGTAGGAAATTTCTCTTTAAAGTCTTTTATGGTAACAAGACTTCTAGGGATAATGGATTCCACCGTTGGAGGAGCAGAGTCCTCGGCCTTGTTCTTTTTCTTTGAATAACTGGTACATTTTGAGGAAGAAGCCATTGTATGGAATAAGGAAAAGATTTTGCTTGAAGAGAATTGGGGAAAAGATGAAGAGCAAGATGCAAGTCGAATAAGGGAAGCTTGGAAAATTATGGAGTATAAGGGAGAAAGTTGATACGTATAAGCAAAAGTTTTGGCGGCTAAATTCATGGCACTGATTACCTCGATAATCGGTAAAACTTATGCTGAATCGTGGGATGACGCGTGTTCGGGTCATTAAAAGCGGAGAGACGTGCATCCAATCAACCGTCAGAAGCCTTTAGAGGGAGTTATAGTAATTCCCGCAAAAATAATATTTCTACCAACTTCCTGGAAAACACAAAGTTATGTCACCGGAAAGCAGGGGGACTATCTGTATAGACTAAAATATGATATGTCACATGGTCGTCCAAAAAAGGGAGACATGAAATCTGGACGGGGGGATGTCCAAGACCGAAGGCAACTGTTCCGCCTGTCACCAGAAAGAATAATGCTCATAAGGATGTAATAAATACTCCTTGCCCAGTAGCATTTAATAGGGAATATTCCATGGCATTAAGTACAATTGCTCGTTGCAGGGAATTTGGCATTTATGCTCACCGTTACATCTTCATCAATGGCTCTCATAATTGAAATTAAAGAGGGGCACGATCCTAAGACCTCCTTCTCTAGACATAGCTATAAATAGTTAGCTCAGCTATCATTGTAATAGACACGAATTTTCTGGCAAACTTATACTACACTCTATCCAAAGCTTAATACAATTTTATCCTCTTGCTTTTCTATTTCGTTATTGTTGTGCACGGAACTATTGTGTTTATGTTATTTCGTCTCCATCACAAGGCTAAGTATTGCATATTTTTTTAATTATTTTATTATTTCAGGTCTGTGAGATTTTACTGGGTGGTTGTTGTTGTTGTTGTTGTTGTTGTTGTTGTTGTTGTTGTTGTTGTTGTTGTTGTTGTTATTGTATTTTATTATTTCAGGATCAAATTAATTCACTTGTCTAGAAACCACATATAAATTCAACTGTACCATTTTACGAGTAAACAATATATATATAATAAAATAGTAAATCACATTTTCAAAAAGATGACGGAAATGTTTTTTTTAATAGTACATCGGAGGTTATCATTTAATTTCAACTTGAGTGCTTTTGAATTATTTCATCTCAGTTTATTTTGATTTACTTAATTATAATTTACTCTAATTATTTTTCAGTTACATTAGCAATTAATTTGCTCTTGAAGGTTAGCTTCGTCTTAAAAACAACCTAGAAGTAGAAATAATTCTAGGTGTTTCTCAAGGCACAAAGGTTCTCCCTACCCACATGCCATTAGCTAGGGACCCCAAGTGGACGCAATAATTGTCCAGCCTAGCAGGGTTTTATGATCATCCTTTTTAGTTTCTACCGGTGTTCCGTATTCCTACCCTGACTAAATTGTAATTTGGTGTCAAAAATTTTACTTTAGGGATAAAATGCAACCTAACAAAAACGACTTCATAATATCTAATTATGAATAAAAAAAATAATTATCATTCTACCGCAATTCTTTTTTTGTTGGATTATAGGATCATCGTCGATCTCATTTGATTTCTATTACCCGACGGCAAAGCTAGAATTAAAAAAGAATTCAATTGAATCATTTCATCCGAAATTATACGATTCAAATAGGATAAAAATAATTTTTTTGATATATATATATATATATATAAAAATTATTGAGCCCCTTTGTATAAAGGATTCTCAATACCAATTTTGCATTTTTTTCAAAACCCCGCTACTAATAGGCGACTACTGATTAGTGGGCTTTTGTGTAAGAAAAAAAAAAGTGAAAATAACACGGTATAGCCATTTTTTGGACTGGTCATTCAAAAATAGCCAGCGTTTACCAAGTTAATGAAAAATAGCTACTATTTTATTGCAACAGAGACCGGTCCAGCATAATATACTGGAGTTCGGTGCACCTGTGTATGAACTTCCAGCATATTATGCTGAACCGGTATACTTGCTGGAACTCCAGTATATTATGCTGGAGTTCTAGTGTACTATGCTGGAACTCCATCATATTATACTGGAGTTCCAACATACTTATCCTGGAACTCCAATATAATATGCTGGAGTTCAAGTATACTTATGCTGAACTCCAGCATAATATACTGGCGTATTTTCCGGGTTTTGAACAGTATTTTCGCTCAGATTTATGTCTAAATGAAAAGTGGCTAAATTTCAATTATTTTTGAAATTAGGCTATTTTTAAACGATCAATTGTAAATCTGGCTATTTTTAAATTTCACCCGAAAAAAAAAATGTCCACCATATTGCACATCTACTAATTAGTCAGCTTTTTATGTTTAAAAAATTATTGGACTCTCCCATTCTGAAACCCAAAAATAAAATAAAAAATAAAATAAAATTGCAAAACGTGGTATATCAGGAACCCAACACCGCACCTATTTAAGGTCAGATTAGTGTTGGCAATAATATTTCTCTCCCACCTTTTGGAGTCTCACTCTATTCTTTCTCGAGTGAGCTTATGAGTTTTAAATTTTAATATTTTAAGTTTATTAAATAGGTTTTTTAACTCAAATATAAGTTTTGGGAAGAACTCTAGCTCCGCCTCAGCATCAAACCCATGCTTAATTCCAGGTTTTGCTCCTTCGCCACCTTTCTTTTATTTTTATATTAATTCTTTTGCCAATGCCTCTGTGTTAATTTTTTTCTATTCAATTATCTCTCTAACTTTGATTATCTTCTGTTTTGTGTGTGTGTTGGTTGATTGTGTGAAGTGTGTGAAATTACGATGAATTCTGATGCATTAGACTTATCTTTTTGCTGTAATTAAGAAGTTTTTATGAATGAGATTGCAGTGCTGACTTATTTCTGAATTAAAAAAGAATGGATTTCATTCTCTTACTCATTTATTTATGATTTCATGTTTATGATTTTCTTAAGTATTAATTCACTGTTGATTTATCAGTCTTCTCTAGCAATGGTTATATGTTCCTGGAAACAGTCTCTCTGCCCGAGAGGTAAGGTCTGCGTACATATTACTCTCCCCAAACCCTACTTGTGGAATTACACTGGGTTGTTTAAGATACCTAATATATATGAAATTTGGTTCCGAAAAAATTTGACTTTTCTAATGAAGTATTGTTATATAAGGATGTTGTTATAGAGAGGTCCGACTATATATGTGAATCTTTATGATAAATTTTAATATATATTTAACTAAAATAAAATAATCTGTTGTTATAGATTAAAATTCATTCATAATCAAATATATAAATTTTTACAGTATCAGTGTATATAACTTAAGTTCTACTTAGCTTTTTTTTTTTTTTTTTTTTTTTTTTTTGCGTGGAGGGGCAAAAGTGCATATATTTCAAAGTTAAAGTATTTGGCCAAGCTTTTAGAAGGAAAAAAGTAATTTTGAGTAGAAGCAGAAGCAGTTAGTAGCATCAAAAGCACTTTTAAGATAAATATACTTAGAAGCACTTTTTAAAAATTTGGCCAAATATTAAATGTTGTTCAAAAGTACTTTTTAAATTAATTATTTAAATACAAACCACTTCTCACCTAAATGTACTTTTTTTTAGAAAATACTTTTAAAAACAAATACTTTTTAAAATTAAATTAATTTTAGAAGCTTCTGCAAACAAGCTATTATAAAGTTACTTGAAATAGCTTTAATCGTTGAGTTTTCGTTCCTTTGTTTTTTCCCCTAATGAGTGCTCTTGCACATGAAAATGAGTTGTCAATATACGTACTAATTATGTTTATTTTTTAATGTCTTCTTTGAGATTAACATAGTATGCCGCACATGAAGAAGATTAATTTTTGTATAATAGAAATACTAAATTAATGACATCTTGCTATAAAAATATTATGTTTGAGTTAAGTTCACTTTGTTTTGTTGTAATTAATCACATAACTTTCGGAAAAGGCAAGAATCTTCTATGATCTTGAATCTTGATTTCAAGTTTCATTACCATTAATTTCATTTCTTAAAAATACGTTATATTATATGTTCTTTATAACAGCATTTCACTATAACAGCCAAAAATACCGCAACAAACGAGGCTGTTATAGAAATATTTGACTGTACTAGTTTTTCCTTCTTTTGGGTGGTGTTTTTGCGCTATTCTTTTTTTAAAAAAAATAAGGACAATATTACAGTTGCTAAGTAATTCTGCCTACCAAATTTGAATTTGAGAGATGAAAAGAAATCGAGGTCGACCTATAAAAGTCAAAGGCTTTTTGGAACCAATTTTAAAAATACGTTATATTATATGTTCTTTATAACAGCATATCTCATAATTTTCGTTAAGGAGTATAAATATATGTAAAAACTACTGAAATATCAACAAATATTATATCTGAACACGTAAATAATATAATGAGTTTAATGCTAAAAATCTTAAAATTTGAACACATAAAATTTAAATCTCGGATCCACCGCGCTGAATTGGCTATGTTACTTTTTCTTGTCACTGTGGGTTAACTCCTTTGTTTTGGGAGAGGCTTGGCTTTAGTGCCTGATTAACGTCACAAATTATTTTCACAATTATAGTTTCTTGTTGTATTTGATGGCTAAGGCATGAATTATTTGGTACTAGTAGGTTTATCTATTGGTACTTTTTAAGTTAAATACAAAATGTGTTTGAAAATAATTTCCTAGTAATAAGTTTCATTAACAAAGCTTTAATTTCCTTAAAGTAAAAAATTCATTTCAAACAGAATTTCAATTTTCAAATACTTATTCGAATAAAATATATTTTTTAAAAATGATGATTTCGAGACGAACTTTAGGACCATATGCACATGTGATATTTTGAGCCCGTTTGGACATAAAAAAAAATTCACTTACTCTAAATCAGAGTTTTGCCATAAAATTTTCACTTTTCACTTGAAGATGAATTTTGAAATTTTCACTTTTCCAAAAATTTACTTTTCAAAATTTTCACTCAGATCACTCACAAAAATTCAAAAACAACTCAAAATTATATTCATGTCCAAATACAACTCTAATTTTCAAATACCATTTTCACTTGAAAAATAAAATTACTTTTTTTAAAATTTTACAATTCTTATGGCCAAACGGGCCCTAAGAAAGATGGTTGGTCTTACTCTAGTGCGTGACATAGACAGGTATGGTCTTTATATAATTGTGAGTTATAAGTATGGACCCTCACCTTCATTATTGGTTTCCAACCGAACTCTCCTACTGTCGCTTCCCCTATTGCCTCATGCCCCCAAAATCTGGAGGACCCCAAATTTACTCAATCTTTTATTATTATGACTAATATATACTATAGAATTTATATAAATAATTATTATAAATAAAAGTGTTATAGTATATGCTATTTGATTGAGGTTATTTTATACCAATAAGTTCATAAATTATGATAATTTTCTAACTCATTAATTAGTATATTTGCTTCATTTTCACTTTTAATTTTATTCTTTTTATATAGGAATTAAGATATATATCGACAACATAATGAATTTCTTTTACAATCTTCTCTGAAACTGCATGAATACAAAAGCATTCATGCACCGATTTTCTTTTAGTGTAATTCAACATATATAATAGGTTATTTACAATTAATTTTAGATATTCACTAATAAGTGCTACTAATTAATAGAATGAACTACAATTATCGTTTAAATTGATCAGAATGAGTAAGCATTTTTGACAGTATTAGCAGTGGCGGAGCCACATGTACCCATGACACCCCTTGGTCGGAAAATTACACTGTTTAACTCGGTAATTTTTAAAAAAATATGTATATATACTATATAATGACACCCCTTGACTTCTTGATGAGTTTGTTTCTTTATATTTTGACTCCCATTAATAAAAATTCTAGCTCCGCCCCTGAGTATTGGTGTTCAAACTTAAGTTATGACGTTATGTATGTTTATTTCTTTTTCTTGATTATGATGATAGCCAAATCAAAATTTTCAACCTCAACATCCGATAATCCACCACTTTATTCTTTGTGCTCTTCCCCCCCCTTCTTTTTTTGAAATTTACTATTGTTTGTCTTAAATGATTAATTTGTTATTTAGAAAGCAAATTTTGTTGCTAGTGTAAAACTTTTATAAAATAAATTTAATGGTTTCTCAATATGGTTTTGCCTCAGGCCAAAAGATCTATATATTGAGCCACCCCTGCCATCCAGCATAATTGGTAAATAGAGGCGGATCAATGGTCGAATTTATGAGTTCTAGATTTTGGACAAAAGAAAATTACATATTTGATCGCTCAGCCAAAAATATTTATATGAGCTAGTCTATATACATAAATATACACTAACTCTCTCTCTATATATATATATTATCTTTTTGGATGGACGGCTATACAGTGTAAACATTCATTCTAGCTAGAAAAGATAATTTATTTGTTACAGATAAATTAGTTATACAATAAATTTCTTACCAAAAATACAAGATTTTGGTAAAAATTGCTATATTACATTTTACCGTACCCGTAGTTAGAATTCTAACTCCGTCCCTGCTCATAATTAAATAGTGTCTTCCATGGCAACTTGTGGAGGGGATACGGGGGATTGGAGTTGTTGTGTATATATATATATGTATATACGTATATGAACGATAAATCTGCAATTACTTTGAATCTATTGAGTCTTTTTTGGTGAAGAAAAAAATTATTAATCACCACAAACAAAAATTACACACAAAACTGGTACTAATAAATTTGAATTTGCGCTTATATATATATACACACACACACACACGAAAGGAGAGTTCTACATATATCTTCTTGGCACATATAGACGGATCTATGACGAGTTCCATGACGAGTTCTATGAATTCAACTGAATCTGTTTTCTTACTTAAGCTATGTATACATGTATAAAGAGAAAATTAAAATGTACACATCTAACAATAAGATCGTGGATCACATTCATTCTAAATCTGCTGACTTTAAATTCTACAAATATACTATTTTTTTTCTTTTTAAGTTTTAGCCATTCCATATATGAACTCACTTTTTCTTGGTCTTTCTTGTTGCTGTCTCTTTCAGGATGTCTTGAGACAAAAAGGAGAGTTTACAAGTAGTATTAAATTGTACAAAAGGGATTACAGCTCTTTTTAAATACAATTAATTTTGTTGAGATTTAATTAGAGAAAAGAATATCAAGAAAAAGAAGAAAAATGGGGTTTTGGACATTATTTGAAGTGGCATCTATGCCAATATTGCAAGTACTCCTCATAAGTATTTTAGGTGCTTTAATGGCCACTGATTATCTCAAGCTTCTTCACTCTGATGCCCGAAGATCTCTCAATAAAGTAAGAATTTTCTTTATTTTTTAAATATTAATTTTCTTTTATATTATTTATGATATATTGACATGCATTGGCTTCTTATTTACTCACTTTGTCCCAATTTATGTGGTTGTGTTGGATTTCGAGAGTTAAACGTGTTTTTCTTTAATTACAATTTTTTCATATGCTTCTTCAATATTTTGAAGTGTTAATTATTATGGTTTATCATATTTTTTACGTAGTTTTCAAATATATATTTTATTTTTTAAAAAAATGAAAGATTTTATATCCAATTCTGCGGTTAAAATTATGAAATTTGTTTCTCGAAATTTGAACTAGCTATGGCTTATAACTTGGGACATAGACGGAGTACCTATTTTACGATATCGTCTATTTTTTAATTTTATATATTTATATATGTTTTTTTGTAGATCGTGTTCGTGGTATTTACGCCTTCTTTAATGTTTGCAAGTTTGGCAAAAACTGTCACCTTGGACGACATAATCTCATGGTATGTACTAACAAATTTGAACTTTTAATTCAGCATTAATATTATTCCTTTGTGGAAAAGTGCTCGTAGAAAATATAGGGAACTTCTAGTGTTAGAAATTATAGATAGTGAGAATCCATATAGCCAATTCAACTTACTTGAGATTAATGCATGCGGAATTGTTGCCCAAGATCAATGTCTAGATTTTGAGTCATTTAGTGGCAAAATTACAGCTAAACTTCTTAATTTTGGATTGTCAGGTGGTTTATGCCCATTAATATAGGGCTAACTTTTCTAGTTGGAGGAATTCTTGGATGGTTAGTTGTGAAAATACTGAAGCCAGATCTACATTTAGAAGGACTCATTATTGCTACATGCTCAGCAGGTACACAATTATCATTTTATTAGAAACTTTTTTATTACCTCCCCAGTTTCGGAAGGGAAGCCTTCGAGCAATGGTTATTGCCGTGTGACCTGTAGGTGACGGGTTCGAGCCATAAAATCAGTCACTGATATTTGTATCAAGGTAGGCTGCATACAATATCACACTTCCTTGGGGTGCAACCCTTCCCCCGAACTTACGTGAACGCGAGATGCTTTGTGTACCAGACTGCACCTTTTATATTTTACCAGTTTCTAATCTGATAATTTATCTTTTCAAACAGGTAATTTGGGGAACCTTCTTTTGATAGTAATTCCAGCAATTTGCAAGGAGAAACGTAGCCCATTTGGTGATCATGGAATTTGTGCTTCTGTTGGTCTGTCATATGCCTCTTTCTCCATGGCAGTAAGTTCTTATTGAAGTCGAGAGACATTTTTTTAAATTGTTAATTTCATCGTATGATCACTTTATTTTTCTCATTGTGTAACAATAAAGTCATAAAATAATTTTTTTTTATCACATTACTTAACTTCGGAAGGGGAGCCTTGGAGCAACGGTAAAGTTGTCTCCGTATGACCTATAGGCCACAGGTTCGAGCCGTAAGAGCAGCCATTAATACTTGCATTACGGTAGGCTATCGACATCACACCCTTAGGGTGCGGCCTTTCACTAGACCCTGCGTGAACGCTAAATGTTTTGTTCACTGAGCTGCCTTTTTATTAAAGTGACTGAACTTCTTCACTATAATAATAAAAGTGGTGCAACTATTTTTTGTCACGTTAATGTAACTAAATTATGCTACTTGAATCGGCCAGTTACTTCAATGTGATAAAAAAAAAGAGTTATGTGGTTTTAATATTGTAGTGGGTAATGTTCGTTTATTTTAATACGATATGAAATAGTTTTATGATTTTACTGTTATAACGGTAAAGCTCAGTGAACTATGTCCTTGTATATATTCACTGCATCAAATTTAGACCAACATCCATGAATTTGTGGTCTAAAAATTAAGTTCTAATTATTCTAACAATTAATTTTCTTGATTTTACAGGTTGGTGGTTTCTACATATGGACCCACACATACCATTTAATAAGAAGCTCATCTGTGAAATTTAAAGCACTAAAAGCAGCTGAGGAAGATGCTTTGAAGAAACCAAATAATGATTTTGATGCAAATGAAAAATCTCACCTTCTTGAAGAAGTTGACCAAAATGATCTTGCTCTTAGCATTGCACCAACAAAATCAACTGCATATGACCCTGAAAATCAAACTGTAAAATTCCCTCCCTTCTTTATTTTGGTTAATTTTATAACTTTAAAATATCTAAACTTTATCCACTATAAAAGTAAAGTCGTTAAACTTTACCAACCATAACAGTAAGATTGCAAAACTACTTTTTGTTTAAAGCAATTGAAAGGAAGATTGAATCCTCCGGGTGCAAGTTAAATATCAACTCAAGAAAGCGATAGGCAAATGGGTATAGGCCGGATCACAAGGGTCTATCGTAAATAATCTTACTTTGCATTTATGCAAGAGCCTGTTTCCACATCTCGAACCTGTGACCTTCTAGTCACATGACATCAACTTTACCAGTTACGCCAAGACTCCCCTTCTTGCTTATTATAACAATAGAATCACTAAATTTTAACCTCTTTAACGACAAAACCTACTGTCAAGGTGATTTGTCATTTTACTACTATATTATATAAAGTTAAATTATAATGTGACAAAAATTTATTTATATACTGTTATAGTGGGTGAAATTCAATTACTAATTATATGTAGCAAAATGATTTTGTGATTCTATTGTCATAGTGATTAAAGTTCAAAAGGATAGCCTTGGAACAATTGTAAAGCTGTTTTCGTGTGACCAATATGTCATGGGTTCAAGCTGTGGAAGCAACCAACAATGCTTGCATTAGGGTAAACTGTCTACATTACGGCCCTTGGGATGCGGCCTTTCCTCGGACCCTAAGTGAACATGGGATATCTTGTGCACCGGACTGTCCTTATTTTAGCGATTAAAGTTCAGAAATCGTACAACAACAAAAAGAAATAGGCATATTTCTGATTCATCAATCAATGTAACTTGCAGAAAGCATGTGAAAAAACAGACATGGAACCAAGAGAAGGGGAAGTATCATCATGGAGTAAATTTTTGCACAAAATTGTGGAGGAACTACTGGCACCTCCAACAGTTGCAGCAGTAAGTTCCATTTAATATTATCAACACTTGTTTTTTTTTTTTTAATTTGGAATTCATACAAAAGATGAATAACAAATAATAATTACTGTTTTTTTTTCATTTTTTGGTAAAAATTCCAGATTATAGGACTTATATTTGGTTCAGTAACATGGTTGAAAAACCTGATTATTGGTAGTGCTGCTCCCCTCAGAGTTATCCAAGACTCAATCAAATTACTTGGGTATGTTTCAATCTCCGTTCTTTTATTCAAGTTGATAAAATCAAATAATTTTATTATGGCCATATTGTGATGAAGAATTAACCTAAATAGCCGTCCACCACTAAAAATAACCAAAAAATCTATGATATATAATTCATATGTAATATATGTATAACCAGGTATAATAACAAATTGGCAGGCTATTTGTGTAAAATCCCTAATGTGATTTACATTTTAAATAAGATTAATAGTTACTAATATTCAAATTCTTGCTTCATTATATTCTTGTTTTGTGTGAAATTGACATCTCACCTTCCTCTCAATGCAGGGATGGGACCATTCCTTGTATCACTCTTATACTAGGAGGAAACCTCACCCAAGGTAAGAATGATGTCATTTCTTGTCCTGATGCTTAACTGAAAGTAATGATATTTTTAGCTATCAATTGTTATGAGGTAGTCATATAATAGGAATATCTCTTAGGAGTATAGAATATGTATAACTCTAAGAGTTTAACTTGTATACACTGACGATGCAAGCATAAAGCATTTTTACAGATTCTTTTAACATGTTCTATTAAGTAACATGTTTTATTTTTTAGGTTACTAATCTAACCATTTATGGATATACATTACTCTTTTAGGTGATTTGACAGTATAAAAGATCCTTCACACTGCCAGTGGATAGAAGTTAAAGCTCGTTAGTTTTTTAACTTGTATACACTAGGGGTGGTAATTTGAGATCCATTTGACCCGCCCAAGGTTGGGTCGGTCATTGACTCGCCCATTTGTTCAACTCAGCCTATCTTAACCCAGAACATCTTAGCTCATCTAATGTTGGCTGATTTTTGGTTCAAATTGGTCAAACCGCTGCTAAAATATCTTTAAAATAATTCTTTTTTGTTTGATATGTCATATATGGCCATAACAAAAGAAAAAAAAATTTTATACATAAGTAAATAGTTCATAAGAAAATAATAGACATTAATTAAAGTTTGATAAGAGTTGGATGAGTTAGGTTATGACCCAAATTTTAGTCCATCTTGAACCAACCCATCTCAACCCAAGTAACTTTTGGGCGGGTCATTTGACCGACCCATTTATTGACTCAGCCTGTTTTGACCCGCCCAAAATCTACCCAACCCGCCCATTTGACACCTTTAGTACTACTAACAATATAACTAATTCTTACATTACCAAGGTATTTTAACATATTGTAACATGCCTTATTTCTATGTTATTAATCCAATCTTTTATGAACAATATGATAACATAAAAATAGTTTACATTGTGTTGTCCTAGTTCTCAGATTTTTCTTTTGAGACATTGAAGTTAACTTCTGCATTACCAACTTGACAGGATTAAGGAAGGCAAAAGTGAAACCAATGATCATAATATCAGTGGTATGTGTGCGGTATATATTCAGTCCTCTAGTAGGAATTCTAGTTCTTAAAGTAGCAGACAAACTAGGATTCCTTGCAGCAGATCCCCTTTACAAATTTGTGATAATGATTCAATACACATTGCCACCCGCCATGAATATCGGTACGCTTCAAACGCTCTTATTTCGTGTAAATTAACCTGTTGTAGCAAGTTATCTGTCTTATTTTCGAGGTAACTGTTGAGAACGATGAACTGATATATTATGATTATGGCGATATATATATATATATATATATATATATATATATACTGGTGCAGGAACAATGACACAATTATTTGATGTAGCACAAGAAGAGTGTTCAGTCCTTTTCTTGTGGACTTATTTGGTTGCAGCATTTGCACTTACTATTTGGTCCACTGTATTCATGTGGCTCTTGTCCTGATTGTCACAAGAAGACACAATATGAAGATATTATATAATGGTGTGGTGTGCTTTAAAGTAATCTTGATACACATCCTACATTCCTACTTTGGGGAAAAATTTGTGAAATATATACCCTATGGAATTAGGTATTAGAAATATTCCATCAGAATAGATATAATACTAGTGTGTGGGACCATTCTATTTGTTTTATTTACCCTCATTATTTTGTTTTTCACTACTATGTTTTTAGCTTCAATTCTTTCAAGTAATATGACCCCCTTCATAAGGTGCTTGTATGTTGTTCTATATATGTAAGGAAAGTATTTAGTTGATTGTCCTTTGTACATTTATTTATTTCATGGCCAATAGTCAGTAGCTTTAGCATGAAATCATAAAGTTTAAATCTTAAATTCGCCTATGACGATGAGCATAAGGTTACGTGAGGAAGCAATAAAGAATGAGATACTAGTTTTCTGACATAATTTTGTTTACACTAATAACTGAAAATATCCAAGCAAACACATGCTCTATTTCCTAGCTGACTGGTATGCTTTCCATCTCATAGAAAGGTTAGTTGAAACTTAGGTCGATATAGGCTTGAGGAATATTTGTGACATTCCCATGTTTTTTTTTTTTTTTTTTTTTTNTGTCATTTATCGAGGAGAAAGAGCCCTTTTGCATTGCTAGGCAATTCTTGGAGTGAGTGATACAACCTTCTCTGATTTGTGGTTGTAGCCAATTTAGCAAGACAATTCGCAACCTGATTCCCCTCTCTGAAACAGTGCCTGACCGTAGCTCTAGTTTGTTTAATGATGAGGGAGCTCTGTCTATAACCTTTTTAATCTTCATGTTATTAGGATTTCCATCCGTGAGCATATCCACTATGATCTTTGAGTCCAGTTCGATAGAGAAATTAGTGTACCCATTCTGACTGCACCATTTCCCTCCAAACTCTGCTGCTTTAGCCTCTGCCATGGTATGATCATCACAGCTGATATGAATAGAAAAGGCCGCAATAAGGTCCCCTTGACTGTTCCTGACTACCCCTCCAATGCCTGCCTTACCACTTTCTTTGCAAAAGCTTCCATCCGTATTAACTTTGATAGTGTCGGGTAGTGGAGACTCCCATGTAACTTGTATCCATTTCTGATATGGTCTGAGTCTCTCGACCTTATCACATAATAAAGTCCATTCCATCTGAGTGTATTCACCTGGTACCATGTTGGAGATAGCCGTTTTCAATGTCCATGTAATTTGGTGTCGCATCGAGTTCAGCTGAAACTTCTTTTGTTTTCCATATTTGCATGCATTTCTTTGTTTCCACAGTTCCCAGCATATGATTGTAGGAGCTATCTGAAGCATTTGATTGTGCATTTTATTATTGGCCGTTGTTTCCCACCATCTTTTGAAGGTAGCAATAATAGGCTCCTGCTGATGTTTGATTCCAAATGCATTACCTATGTTGTTCCATATGAAGATGGCAGCTTCACTACCATTAAAGACATGTTGAACTGTTTCTACCTGCGCAGAAGAACAACAAGAACATCTGGAAATAATGTTAGTACCAAATCTGCAAATAACATCATCAAAAGGTAACCTATTTTTGAAAATTCTCCAAGAGATAAAGGACATCTTAAAAGGGAGAGAGTTATGCCAGATTTTGTTTATGAAGATATTTTTCTGTTTCTTGAATCTAATAGAATGCCATGCTGAGTTAGAAGAAAATCTCCCATCATTAGAAGTAGTCCAAACCGGGAAATCATCCTCATTTTGGTCACCTATATCCAGTTGAGCAACACTATCCATAATATGCACGGGAAGAACATTGTTGAGTTTGACAATATTCCATTCTCCATTAATTATGAAGTATTTCACCTGTACTTTAGAGGATCTTCCACTACCTTGTAATATGTTGGCCAATGCACCTTTACCTGTCCAGTTATCCCACCAAAAGGTATAATTACCTTTTTGTATTTCCCATCTAATGTTTTCCTCTGCTTTGTCTCTGATTTTGAGCATGTTTCTCCAAATATGAGAATTAGAGGGATTTGACTTTTTGTTCACTGGATGGGCTCTTTTGCAATATTTATTCTTGAGAAGGTTGGCCCATAGGGAGGGGTGAGTTCTGAATCTCCACCATCTTTTAATGTTAAGTGTATCTATGATATCCTCCATTTTTCTAACACCGGCTCCTCCCTCATCTTTGGGAAGACAAAGATTATTCCATGAAGACCAATGATATTTGTTTTTACCTTCATTTGTGCCCCAAAAGAAGTTTGCAAAGTGTTTCTCCATGAGCTTAGTAATTCCTTTAGGAGGGTTCATAGCCGAAAGGATGTATGTGGGGAGGGATTGTAAGACATGTTTAATCAAGATCATTCTCCCTCCAAAGGACATCATATTGGCTTGTTATCCATTAAGTTTCTTGACCACCTTAGAGAGCATACCGTAAAAAAGATTGCTAGTCTTCCTCCCAAAATAAATGGGGCATCCCTGATAAGTGAAAGAGAAAGACTTATCCATATAGCTTGTGGCATTCTTAATTCTATTGATTCTAGCAGCGCAGGTGTCACACCTCCTTTTTCCGCCCCGCGAGGGGCAAGGGAGTTTTTTTCAATTAAAGGACAATCGAAACGGGATTGGTTTATTTATTTCAGAGTCGCCACTTGGGAGGTTTAGGGTGTCCCAAGTCACCAATTTTAATCCCGAATCGAGGAAAAGAATGACTTCGTATTACAGTCTGCGTACCAGAAATTCGGATAAGGAATTCTCTTAACCCGGGAGAAGGTGTTAGGCATTCCCGAGTTCCGTGGTTCTAGCACGGTCGCTCAACTGTTATATTTGGCTTGATTATCTGATTTTATACATGTTAAACCTATGTGCAAGTTTTAAACTCTTGACCGCTTTTATTATTATTTTTTACGAGAATTGCCACGTCGTGAAAATATATCTCGAACCACGTTACATCAATGCACCCGTGGTTATTGACATATCTCGACTCGGTTGAGATTTGGATTTGGGTCACATAAATGTGCACCCGAATTAGGAAAAATAAATTATTAAGACGTGCCTAAAGCAACTAACGTATTGTTATTTTGGGGAAGGCCGTAAAATTTGCTAAACGGCATGTCCCGAATTCTAAGAATTTTTAATATATATACATTTAGAAGGCCCCGTAGCTTCTACATTTTTTGTTTGTCGAGGCTCGTCTCATTTATTATTAAAAGGAATTTACAACGTCATGGAAATGCATCTCGGGCCACGCCACAATCAATGTGCCCGTGATTAGAGACGTATTTCGATCCCGTTGAGATTTGGATTTGGGTCACATAAATGTGCACCCGAGTTTAAGAAAATTAAATTATTAAAGGCGCGCCTAAAGCGACTATCGCGTTATTATTCCGGGAGGGTCGTGAGATTTGCTAAACGACCTGCCTTGGAAACTGGATGCTTTGATATATACATTTGACGAGGGCCCCGCAGCTTGCGCTTTTTTACTTGGCGAGGCTCATCTCGTCCTTATTTTAAAAGGATATCCTATAGCAGCTACGTTTCTTGTCGCGTTTGTCTCTACTAATTGGAAACAGAAATAGTCCTAGTTAATTGCATGCTTGCAGGTTATTTATAGCAGGATTCAAAATGCTTTTATAGAATAAGAAAATATGACTACGCACACGGACAACTGATTGAACATTACGGGCCCAAATCCAGCTCATGCGGGATGGGCCAGACCTGGGCCACTGTTTGTTCGATGCGGGCCTGCTTGGTTTGTTTCGACCTGGGCTCGACCCCTGTGAGGTTGAGACCGTAAACTTGTGTTCTTTGTTCTAAAGGTGTGGCTGATCAATAATTATAACAAAGCAATTCATCCAAAGGAGATGAACTTGGATAATTTCATGCTTGGCATATATTAAACGATATGTTACACAATTAAACCAAGTCTGGGATACAACCTATTGTATTGGGCATATTTTTTACCTAACAGCATACATATATAAACTAACATCCAACTAATCTACATTGATATCTACTAGACATGCAGGCTACTTCCAATACCCAAACAGGAATGAAAATTATTATACATTACATGATATTTAATGTAACAATCTATGTATAAAAGACATTCTTCAGGTCTTTTCTTTTGTATTCATGCTCAACTTTCCAATTACATTGACAGTGTATTAGTTGTGTACCTGGTATAGAGAACAGAAGAAGGAAAATGATCAGTTGAGTGGTACACAGCAAGCACAGCAGCAGCAGGTAAACAACACAACACAGGAACAACCAAAACAGCCACAATGATGAAGCTCAACAAGTGATCGAGCAATGGACAGACAATCCCANTTTTTGTTGTTTTTCTTTAAAAAATGAAATTAAAATCATCATTAATTTAATTATTTAACCTAATTATCACACACATATCACAACCCAGCATAAAAGATGCATATATATTTTTTGGATTTTCTTTTAGTGATCGAATTACGGTTTAATTACCATGACATACATACTTTGTATTTTGATCGGTAAGATTAAATGCAAAATGGGCCGAACCACGAATGACTAACAGCACATGTCATGAAAAATTGAAAATTTGTACAGCGAGGTCACTGGTCACTATTTTTGTTTTCTTTTGGAGCGTTTGTCCGTGAAGCAAAAATCACGTGCTTACAGCAGGTGTGAGGGGCTGTGATAAAGAAGCTCTTATCGTTGTTAACTTTCTGTCCATAAGCCTTTCCATACATGCCAATAACCTTTTTGATTAACTTGAGAGTCATGTTGTTTCCACCACAGAATATAACAATATCATCAACGTAGGCTAAATGATTGATCATCGGACCTCTCGGATCCATGCTAAAATGAGTGAAACTGATAAAGTCATTTAGAGCATTTAGAGATCTAGAAAGAACCTCAGCTCCAATAATAAACAAAGAAGGGGATAAGGGATCTCCCTGTTTGAGGCCCTGAGTAGATGTGAAAAAATATGTTCTAGCCCCATTGATGATGATAGAGTACCATATATCTTGTAGAAGTCCCCAGATCATGTCAATCCAATTCTCAGAGAAACCAAATTTCCTCATAACTGCTATCAGAAAGGTCCAGGAAATTCTATCATAAGCTTTTGCCATGTCAAGTTTTATAATAACATTGCCTCCTCTGTTCTTCTTGTTCACGCCCTGAGCAATCTCCTGAGCTAGAAGGATATTTTCAGCGATCAATCTTCCTTTCACAAAGCCAATTTGATTCTCTGATATAAGCTTCCCAAGAATAGGATTCAGCCTTCTGGAAAGGATCTTGGAGATAATCTTGGCAGTAAAGTTACTCAAACTAATAGGTCTC